AATGATAGGTGAATAACACTAATGTAGAAGCATCTTGACATTAACTGAAAACTTGTCAAATCTGATTGGTTGATTGAAATGTTTTTTTTCCAGGACCAACAAAGGTGTTGATCCAGGAACATGGCGAACTTGGTGAAATCACGTTAACCGTCATTTTGACATGTTACCAAAAGGCTCTTGGTTTTCTTTCTTACAAACCATTAGCAGACTGACCTGTTCCTCAGAGATCTCCACCTCCATGTCGCCCGCGTCCTCCTCAGCCCCAGTGATCCAGCGCTCTGCAGGGTAAGCAGTGAGACTGTGCTGCAGTAACTTCAACTGTTTCTCCCACAACTCCTGCCTCTGACTCCTCTGCAGCTCCGCCAAAACCTCGGCCAGGTCAAACGGATCTGCTCCATCCTTCTGCAAGACAAACAGCAGTGAACACGATGACCTCATATAATAGGCTGGGCTAACACTGGGCTCTTTTCAGCTCTTTCTGAATCCCTGATTTCATTGCCAAGTAAGTTCTATACTTACTTACTTATATACAGCATCATTAGTCAGAAAGGCCTTTCTTGTTTGTTATTTTGCTCTCAAATTTCAAACATGTATCCAGTGTAATTTACACAATGTAATATACATTTTCTAGTGAAAAACAAGTAAACCTTGGCATACTTTTAAAAATATCTTATTCTGTGACACTGACAGTGAGCGTTGAAAACATTACTCACATGTAATCTGATGAAGTTCAGAAAATCCTGGACGTGCTCATGATGGACCGAGTCCAGGAACTGCTTTCGTTTCGACATTTCGCTGAAAAAATTAAGACAGAACAGAAGCACACTTAACGTTAAGTTACTAACTTACATACCGTAACACTGATCTATAAGTTTATGTTATAAACGTTACCCGTGCACAGGGTAAGGCTACAGTTATGTACGCAATAGTATCAATGTAACGTTAACTTCACAGTTTCTTCCTCCAAACGTTAACGTTACATGTCAAACCAAAGTTAAACTGACGACAGGTAACGTTAACATTAAAGCTTTAGTTTTGTATATGCACAACATTATTTCTACTATATCAGCACATATTACAGCACATTGTAAATATATATTTTTTCCGTCAGCTTAAACCTGTTAGTTTTAATCATAGATTGTAAAACAAGTTTGTTTACATACAGAAGATCCTCAGAGAACCGCTGAGTCCGTTTCAATATTTCCCCGCTCAAAGTTAAGGAGGCGTCATGACGTCAGGCAGGCGTAATGTTTTTCGTCCTCGTCGTGCCGATGAGACAGTGCCATCTGCTGTTGTGGAGATTAACTGTCTTAATGTACTGGATTCCTGTTTGGTCTTCTCAGAGAATGTCTGGTCTTCTTCATCTCTATTAGTCTAGATCCTCCTTTAGCGGAGAATATCTCAACTGTTCTAGACTAATGTGACCCCATTGAACAACATGTGATGTGTGCCAAAACCTCTAACCGAGACGAAAGTCCTGAAAATGACCACAATAGGTGACACTTATATCACAATACAAGTGAATGGGACTTTTTTTTTTATCTTTATAGAAATTCTCATACATTTCTACTAGTTTCTTCATATTAATATGCAAATACGGCAATATCTCATTAAATATGCATACATAAAACCTCTTGAAGCTACAGATTTTCTGACTTGATCACAATGTTCACAATGACCATGTCGTGTAAGTGTTATACCTTTCTCACCAATGCCATGAAGTCGATAATGATTGCGTGTGTTTGTGGGTATGGACTGCCAAAGCTGACTTAATTAAAAATAAATAAATACATAAATAAATATACGAAGAAATGTAAAAAGGCAAAAATACACAAATAAATACAGAAATTAATATACAAAGAAATGTAAAAAAGTACAAATAAATGAGTATTTATACTTTTATTTCTTTATTTATGTATAATTTTATTTTTTCACACATTTGTTTATTTATTTCTACATTTATTCATTTATTTATTTCCACCTTTATTTATTTCTACATTCATTTATGTATTTATGTCTACATTTATTTATTTTCACATTTATTTATTTCTACATGTATTTATTTACACATTTATTTATTCCAACATTTCTTTGGCATCCACAGTTGCACTTCTCTCAGCTGTGAGTCCAGGGACACTGTCACTCTCATGTGTCACTTTTTTGGAGAAGCGATTGACCATCCACAGAAAATAGTCTGCATTCATTAACTAGGTGGACAAACTGTTATTAGCTAGATACACAATACACACCAAAATAAATATAAAACTGATACAAATTCATTATAATTATTTGAATAGGCCTATACGCAAAATTACAACTCAAATGATAATGACACAATACTGTAAATGTGCACGCCAACACAAAGACTAAGGATTGGATTTCCTTACTTTTCTTGATCTCAAATCATCTTGTTTGACAGCCATGTGCTCTGTAATGACCTCATGTGTGTAATAGGTTGACTGCTTTTTTTTTTTTATTGGAATACAAAAGGGTACAGCAATAACAATAAGGTTGACTGTTTTTTTTTAGCCATTTTCTTTATATTAAAGTCCCCGTGAAATCAAAATCGAACCTATTTACTTTGTTAGCGCATATTACTAGTCTTGTGGTGAACAATTAATCCGTGCAAGTAAAAATATATTTAAAAAATGTTTTACCTTGGTAATCTTTAATCAAAATCTGAAAAGTTACTTCCGGTCTGGAACGGTTTCTTTTTCTGATGACGTAGGTTTCACAACTTGGGTGGGGAAACGCTTAACCACTCCCCTCAAACCGTTAGTTTGCTATGAGCGAGAGATGGAGAGGAGGAGCGCTAGAGTAAAACCCTGCCCTCTGTTCAATATTCCGTTTCACTTGGAAATACGTCACAGCACTGGAGAAAAATCGTTTGCAACTTCCGGTTCACGGGGACTTTAAATTAGAATGCTTACACTCTTCTATGACCTTATAATCATGGTCATTGTGAACATTGTGATCTCCTCAGAAAATATGTAGCTTCAATGGTTTATATGAATGCATATTTAATGAGATATTGCCTCATTTGCATATTTTATTTTTTAGAGTGTAATACAAAAAAGTATTTCTCTTAATATAAAGATTAATCTGTTAGAAATTTATGAGGATATCTATAAAGGGAAGAAAAAGTCCCATTCACTTGTGGTGTCATTATAGTATCACTCAGAGCCATGTATTCACTTAATGTGGTCATTTTCAGGACTTTCGTCCTGGTTAGAGATTTTGGCACACATCCCACGTTGTTCAATGGAGTCACATTAGTCTAGAACAGTTGAGATATTCTCCGCTAAATAAAGTGCACACAAATCTTACCTAGGATCTCTACTATATGCTAAAACCGTATCTATCTTCTTCATAAATATTTCTAATTGTCTACACGCTTCAAACGCTCACTACTATTTCACAACGTCAGCAGAGTTATTTTACCGCTCTAAAATTTACAACAACTAATGTCCACCAGCTGGCGCCAAATGCACGTTGTATGTTAAGCCCCCAATAATAAAAGGCACAAAAAAGGTTACTCTGTAATACATTGCAATTATACGCTTACTACTTTTCTGTTACAGTCAAATGTTTTTTTTTATATATATATATATATATATATATATATATATATTTTTATAATAAACCAACTTTTGAATCTGTCCTTTCTATTTTGCACTACCAAAAGATTGTTGATTTAAGAAAATATTGCTCTTATGAAGTGTATGGTAACCCCTACTGGGAATTAGTCCTCTGCATTTAACCCATCCAAGTTACACATTTTTAGGAGCAATGAGTAGTAAACACACACTCTCTCTCACACACACACACTGACACCGACACCTAGAGCAGTGGGCACCAGATTCACTGCAGCAACCGGGGAGTAATTGGGGGTTAAGGGCACCTCAGTCATTTCCTGCCTTTACTGAAAATTGAAACCACCTCAAACCACGGCCGTCTCACTGTGGTATCCCTATCATTACCACATTCAATAATTGAGTATGCTGAACCCAAAACTGGGCCAAAATATTGAGCATTATCTTTTATTAGGTTGCTTCAATACCTTCCACATAACCTTGTTAAAACATACCATCAAAAACAAAAGTATGAAGAGAGACTAAATTAAACTCTGTAACTCTGAAAGGGTGGGGTTGGGGGTTGTACACCCAGAGTGATAAAACAGTACATTTACCTACACTATAAAAAAACAAGATGATTTCTGTAAGATGATATCAAAAACTCAGCAAAAAACACAAAAGAAAGAAATTCCTCATGCACACTTCTGAAATTGTCTCTGACATATGATACTGGACTCAAAAACTCAAGGCCTGGTTTGACAGACAGGGCTTAGACTAAGCCATGAATTAGGCCTTAGTCCAACTAGGGAATTTAAGTAGCTTTTATAATTGTTGAATTGTTTCTTAATTACTGATGTGATGTGCTGCAGACTAAACAATGACACTGATATATTTTAAGATATGTCACTGCAACTTGCTTTGAGTAAAAACAGCTTAAACATCCACTTTAGTCTGGGACCAGCTCAAACCTTGTCTGTGAAACCAGGGGATTGGGTCCAAGTGCACAAATCCAAATTACGAGTTCAGGGATACAAACTGATTTTCGTTTTTCAATGATATCATGCATGATGCATAGAGAAGAGTCAGGCTGGAAATCACACCAACAGCCAATTTACAGTCTTTAAACAATCCATGAGCAAAACACGTTGTAACCAAGCTAGTATCAATCTACTTACAAACAGAAACATACAGTATTTTGCCTAAACTGCTAAAACTCTTGCAAACAAAATGGGTATCAAATATTTCTGTACAGGCTTTTCATTTTGCGCAGTGCTACAGGAAACAGTGAAATACTTTTAAAATAAAGTATTATCAATGGATCATTTATGAAGAGCTGAAAATAACTTAGAATTTTCCTTCACCATATGTGGTAGAAAAAAACAGCAGCATAAAATAAAGAGGGAAAAATGTGTACATACATACATAAATACATACATACATACATACATGTGTAGTGTTTTTCTTTTGCAAATGTGGCCCTATACCTCTTTGGCCATGTGCTTTGTGTTATTTGCTGACACAACAAATAACAATGTAAAAGTAAAATGTCTGCCTTTCCAACTATTTTTTCAATATTTTTTTTTCTGTTGTGATTCTAATAGTTTACAAAATGCAGCATTAAAAATGTAGTACTAAACCCAAAAGTTTCAGAATATTATCAAAATATCTTAAATCCAATAAAGAGAGTGTATTCATGAATCTAAATGATTCTTTTGTTTATGTTGTATTATAGATTGACAACCATTTTTATCTACTGGAGAAATAAATGTGTGCAAACCCTAATAATTGAATTAAATGATAAGAGAGTTTGTAGGCCAGTGTAAATCCCAGTAGAAGTAGCCTGGTTTAGTTAATCCAACGCTCCTCTTCTGCTACTAAAGATTCTATGTGATCCTGTGCGGGCTGTGACATGTCCCAGTTATCAGCCCGTTTCATTCTTTCCTGGCTTCTTGCACGGACCACCACTACATCTGAATTATCTTCTTCGATCCATCCTCAGTCAGTTGATACCTGAGACAAAAAAGAAGCCTTTATAATCAAATAAAGGCAAATGTAAAGGTGTGACAGTATGAATGAATGAGAATCATACCATCGAGTCCATCCTTTAGAAATTTCTTCACTTGCCAAGTCCACAAGTGCCTGTGACAAAGACATTAGCAAGCCACCATAAAAATCCAATGATCAACAAAATGAGAAAAAGTAGGAATAGTGAATGTGTCAGGGTTTGTACCTTGCCCAGTAGCACTTTGTGTTTGGACAGCAGTCCTCCTCCATTTTTCACAGCAACATCAAGTGTCCTCCTATGCAGTTCCACTATTGACACACTGAACTCGAAGCTGACAAAAGCAACACACCAAGAGACTTTAACTTACTACTGTTATTGGTTAGTACTGTATGATACCTCAAACTGCACATACAACTGGCATCAATAAACTTACAGTAATACAGAAAATTTCTCAGAAACATGGGCAGTTACAACATATATTATAAAGTCTTGATTGACTTGGTACGGAGGGTAAAACAGTTACCGGTAGCTAAATCTGTCCATTAAGAAGCTCCGCAGTGGATTTAATATGAAAAGGAATGTCATGCAAATGCATACAGCAAGATAAACAGCAGATCTGAGTTTGAATTTGGTAGGTCCTCTTCTAATTTGAATATTCAATGAGTTAAAGTCACTGTGTCTGTAACCGCTTTAAGTTTTACATGCACAAGAGCAAAGTAATAAATAAATACTATTAGGAAAAAGTTTTTTTTTCATTATTGTAATATGGTCGCCTCTGAATTTCCTCATAAACTGCCTTTAAAATCCCCATGTTACCACCTTACACAATATTGCACATTAAAAAGGAAGATTAAAAGTACCGCAACAAGCTAAAGAAACATCTTAAAATGTTTCTCAAGTTCAAAAAAAGACAGTTTAATTGATTCATTGCAACTTTATCATTACAAATGTGTACAAAACTACAACATTTATGTCACACTTAAGTTCATTTTTACATATTCCATCAGTGTTATTTCCATAATATGTTATCTGTTTAAAAAATGAGAAAGTGTACTTCTTTTTCAAAAGGGCTTTTGTACCAATTATTATGAAAATGAGTTTTGCTGGTTGGTACTCTTGGTCTTGTGTCTGACTGTGTGTTCAGTGAGTTTCTTACGAGTGGTCATAGACAGGGTTGAGCGTCTTCTTGAGTGTACTGGTTTTTCTGCGGCCACTCCGGCTCTTGTCTGGTAACAGGTACAGGCGGATGTATGGGTCTGAGCCATCTCTGGTCAGTGCTATGAGGTTTCTGTGATTATGAGACATGGAAACACATATTTACACAAAAGCACGAGAAGTGTTTTCACAGAGACCGGTTTTGTCACATTTATGCAAATTTAAACAAACAAATGCAAAAACGTGTCCCCTGTTATTTGCACACATAGTTTATAATACTCTGATCACCTGTCAAAAAAACCCTCACTATTATACTAAATATATTACAAATTACGCACACAAAATGATTTGGAAGTGGTACTAAAAAACAGAAAGGAGGAATGTATTTTTGGTATGAAGGTTACCTGCAAGCATGAACCACTACAATAAGTTTATTCCTCTGTGAGCTGTGTCGAATAGTGAGCTGGACTTCACCAAGCGGATATTGGCTCAGCCCAGAGCCGCTGTAACAGAGAAACAGCATGTTCATTTGACAGAGTACGGGACTACGTTTTTCTTCAAACAATTTCTTAAAGTTAACATGAATTCAAAATTGACTATATTTCCTTTATTCCTTATTTTGCATGACTGACTTGATGCACATCATTCCCAATTAAATTGACGTAAAATATTTGAAGTACTTTTTGAATTATATAACCTTTAATTCTAACTTTTTAACTCTTTTTTCTTAGTTTTTTCGTCTTAACTCACACAACCTGGAAACATTCTTTTATTTAACAGCCACTTTTCACAATCAACAGGTAAAACAATGCATGGCTCCTCATTACCACAATTAGATGTAACTACAGTTAGATGTAAACAACAGAATTTATGGCAAATAATAATAGGCTTTTATCAGCCATTACAACAGTCTTCAGTGTCACATGATCCAATCAGGATTCTTTGATGCATATATATATATATATATATTATAAACATTTTGTAGCATTATAAATGTATTTACTGTCACTTTTGATCAATGAAATGGATTCTTGTTAAATAAATAATTTATTTAAAAAAAAAAGTTTTGAACGGTGGTTTATTTGAATAATTTCATTACATTTGGTATAAATATGCAAACCTACTGCTAAAATACTCCAGTTAGTGTAATATAGTTTCAACTAGCTGAGCTATTTGGGATGCCATAGGAGTTTGTAAAAGGGAATCAGTGACAAATACAAAAAATGGGTCATGTCACACTTTCCACTGCTTCACTATTCAAATCGTTTTGGGTGCCTCAGTAGAGACCAATCTGCTCAGTGCTATCTAGTAAGTCATGCCGTGTTGTTCATTGGGCCGAGCAGATAAATACTGTAGTTCGCAATGAACTAGGTACTGCTATTGCGACTCACTTATTTGGCTTTTGGTGTTTCTCTTACTCAACAGAAAATGGCAGCGTGACTTCTAACAAACTGTAATTGCACTGACAAGAAAAAAAGCAAATCGCAAACATGACCTCTGCATATAGGGAATCAGTGTGTCATAAGACAAGGACACAGACTCACTTTTGTAGCTGCTGTAACCGCTGCTGCAGTTCCATTGTGGCACAGGGCAGTGAAATGTCAGAGGCCAGACTAGGAGTAGAGTCTCTGTGAGTCTGATGCTTGTGCGAGCTGCTTATCACTAGACTGGAAACACTGCGGCCTACCTCCGCAAGCCGCACCGGGGAGCCATCCGATCCTCTTTTCCCTTGAGGGGTGTCCGGTGGAGGGGTACAAGGTGGGTTGTGTGACGTCTGGATGACTGTGGAGTTGCTATAGCTAGTAGCTGTTTGAGATTGAGGGGACACGTAAGTGTTATTTTGACTTGTGTGTCTGACTCGGACAGATGATGGTTGGCTGGACGTGACCTCCTTTTCCAAACAGAGGACCTGTTTACACAAAAACATATTTATATGGAATGTGCTGAATGAAACACACACATACACACACAAATGAATCGCACACAGACACACCAACCCTGAGAGCCATTTTGAGTTTGAGGGTGCTGTTGGGGCCAGAGTTCTGCAGGGGGAACTGCTGATTTTGCGTCATGTCCGCCTCCTTCAGGAGAGAACCAAGTGCCACCCGCACACAACCCAGAGAGCACTTGTGCTTACTATCCCTCACCTGAGACACACAAACAACATCTATACTATCATTTGACAAATACAAAACAGTGTATGTGTTAAAATTTGTGTCTCTTTTTGAGGATGGTATGTACAGTATATGACCACATTCATATGTCCTTAATGAATAAAAGTATTAATTTCTTTAAAAAACAACAACTTTTGAACAGTAAGTGTAACCTACAGTAGACTTATGTAATTAACATTATTTTAGACTTTATTAATTACTTAAAGACACCATGAAATCCAAATGGACAGTTATATTTTTTTATGGAATATTGTGGAATTTATTATAAATGGTTTATCCATGCACACAATTATTTTATTTTTATATTAATGTGGCCTTGTAATCTTTAATCAAAATAACTTGCAGTGGAATCTCTTCTTTTCTCTGATGATGTGTTTAACATGTTTACAGGCGCAGGGGTGGGACATCCTGTCACTAAGTTGAGATCATAGCAATAGCAAGCTACAATCATACAACGATCCAATAAATTCCAACCCAGCATTTTTTCTTGTTCCAGAAGCTGTTTCACTCTGATATACTACACAATAGGTTAAAAAAATAGCGCAATTTCTGTTTCATGCCGACTTTAACATTCATGCTATTGGTGTGGTTTCTTATAGAATACCTCAATTTCCAGTTCCTGAGTGCGGGGGTTGTTGATAAGGAAGGAAAAGGCCTCCTCCCACAACGGCTCAGAAGTTTTATACCTAACCTGAAATTACAGGAGCAAAACGGGACTGAATATATGTGCGCTGCTAGTCTTCAAACAGGTTAAAGCTAATTTATAAATGTTACCTTGCTTGTATACATCTTTTGTCCAACAGTCAGTTTGACAAAAGGATTTGGATCTATGCTCACTTTCTTCCCAGACTGTTGAACAAAAAAATAAATAAAGAAAACTTCAATTGTACAGTATTATATGACAGTCACCATATATGAGTGTCTCCTTTAATAGTCATCAAATCTACTTAACATCTGCTTTCTGGTAACACAATACAATATTTCCTGCATGTAATAGATTGATTACAAATTATGTCATAACTCAGTAAACTCAGTAAGTAATGTTTTTTTACTAGCACTTTGTGGTAAGAATGTTATTTTAAGCTCTTCTATGAAAATATCAGCAACGTAAATACAATAAGCCTCCTGTTTTACTTTTATAAATTGAGAATAAATAATAAAATTAAAGCTGCAGTCCATAACTTTTGGTGCTCTAGCGGTGATGGCGCAGTGGATAAGATAAAACACATGCCTTTGGTGTGCAATTGTAAGTCGATTTGGATCACACAGATACATGGATGACGGGCGGAAGGTTTAACACACACACACACAAATACAACGT